GTGTGTGTGTGTGTGTGTGTGTGTGTGTGTGTGTGTGTGTGTGTGTGCCTGTGCACTGGCAGCACATTTCCTCTGACTGCTGTGTTTACTTATCACGGTTAAGAGGAGGCAGCTTGAGACTGAAACACATCAAGGTATCAAAGGCATTTATGTGGGTTGGTGTGTTACAGAGTTAAACCACTACCTGCTGTTCTGGTATGTGCTCTGATTTAGGAAACGCAGCAAGGAGGATGTGGGGGCTAGTAGAGGGAGACTCCCTGGGTCAGTGACTACAAGTCAAAACTGCTGATGGTCTGGCAGCGGCTGCAGAATTAATATAGATAAATCCTTCTCTTATTGCATTTCTTTTCTTTAAACTTTTGTGTATTGCTTTCTTTCGTATTTATACCCATTTCTGGAATATGGTACATTTGTGCCCATAAAGACATATCCAGATGTAACTTGCTCATCCATCTCATTGGCTCTCCCAGGCTGTGAGGACATCGTTGTGGAAAGCCTGTCTCTGGACTCACTCGTCCCCATCCTGAAGTGGAGCTCCCAGCCGTACGGCTCCAAGTGGGTCCACAGGCAGGCCATGCACTTCCTCTGTGAGGAATTCAGTCAGGTTGTCACTTCAGATGTTCTCTACGAGCTCGGCAAGGAGCACCTTCTCTGCGCAATTCAGTCCGACTACCTACAGGTAAGGGAACGGAGCGTCGCTTCCTCTGTCAACCTGTCACCCGTAACGACATCTCCCAGTTTGGAGGTACATTTTCTAGCGGGACGTTTCAGTAATTGGTGCCTGACATGTTCACAATGACTACTGCTTGGTGAAAATACAGTAAACACAGAGGGGATAAATTAACACAATATCTGTGTCACTCGCACACTATACGCACACACACACACAGACGACACTCGGGGACTACAGAGATGAGTAACAGCGTTCCCTGCAGGGAAATGCCTTCAAACCAAGAACCTAATCAAAGCTGAGCTGTCATCTGCACTGCCAAGATACTCGGGCATCAGACCAGATGGTTGAGGTGTTGAAATCCAACGACACAAACAAACCAACCAGGCCTGAGTTTTGCTGGGACACCGCCTGAACATATTGCATTTTCACCTCGTCCTCATTTAACAGCTTCCCAGTTTTGTTCCCGACAATATCTAACCATGTCCTAATAATACTTTTGTGTCTTTCCTTCTCCTTGTCCTATATCTCTCTCTCTCTCTTTCTCTGTGTCTTGGTCTCATTTACAGGCGAGTGAACAGGACATTCTCAAGTATGTTGTTAAGTGGGGCGAGCAGCAGCTTATTAAGAGGATGGCAGACAGGGGTAAGATAATACACTCTATAATTACCCTCTGAGCAGCCCCCCTAATGGCTCTGAGGGAATTACCCACTTACCAGAGCCTCCAAATACACTTAAAAGCATGACTGAATGGCACCAAACTTTACCCTAAAAAATAGTGACCTCATTGTGATTGGTCATGTCATTGTGTGCTCTGACCTAGTCAGCAATTGTCTTCTGTCGGATTCATTGTCACGGTTGTTGGTCATCATATTGTATGGGCTGGCAACCACACAGGAAGCAATGCAATATTTATCCATCATCTGTTTAATCAAACTTTCCTGAACACTGTGGAGAAAATAGCCAGCAGGTTGACTTAAGAGCATTAAAAGCCTAATCATAGTTGCACAAACAGTCACGGTTATGTGCATTACATTAAAGCTGCTAATGGCCGTTCCTGTCCTCATTTACCCAGAACCGAACCTTTTGAGCGGCACAGCCCACAGTGTGAACAAGAGGGGAGTGAAAAGGAGGGACCTGGATGTGGAGGAGCTAAAGGAGATCCTGTCTCCCCTCCTGCCCTTTATCCGAACTGAGCACATCTTACCTCCCAACAGTGACGTCCTCTCTGACGCGGTCAGTACTGCTTCTCTACCTTTTCTCAGCGTGTGTGTGTGTGTTCACCTGAGTCATTGTGACCTTGATAAACTAAACATTGATCCTCGTTCTTCACCCTTGTTCACAGCTTAAACGAGGTTTGATCAGCACCCCTCCCTCAGACATGCTGCCCACAGCTGAGGGGGGAAAAGCCAATGCCTGGTTACGGCAGAAGAACGCTGGCATCTACGTGCGTCCCCGCCTCTTCTCTCCTTATGTGGAGGAGGCTAAGGTAAGGCTCCTTCACTATTGATTAATTCGGACTCCAGGAAGCGGTGGATTATTTGTGTCTTTTTTTTTTGCTAACATCAAAGAGTAGAGGTTCTGCGAACCAGTTCGTAGCTCAGATGCGGAAAATCATCCATGCCCAGTTGTTGCTAATGCATACTCACCGTGTTTAATAGCGGCCTCCATCACATGACTGAAATTCATGTTATGTCCATTTGCACACTTTTCCTAATAATTTATATGGATTCCCAGGGACATGAATATTAATGAACATTTCCCTAGACCAGAGAGAGTCATTATTAAATGAAGTGTCAATCAAGTGGAAATAATTTGCGAACCCTCTCGGTGTCCTTGAGTTGCACATATGAGTTTTATTTCTTAGAAGTTGTGGTCTAACTTGCCCTCTCTCGTCTACCTGCCCCTTTTAGTCTGTGCTTGATGAAATGATGGTGGAGCAGACGGACTTGGTGCGTTTGCGATTAGTGCGCATGTCCAACGTCCCAGACACGCTCTACATGGTCAACAACGCTGTGCCTCAGTGCTGTCACATGATCAACCACCAGCAAATGGCGAGCAACTCAACCACAGCTCCGTCGGTTGTGGCCAATGAAATTCCAGGTAATGACCAGATAGTAACAGAAACTGGTGCTCGTGTTGCCAAATATCCAAACTAAGAACCCTTAAACATAATGCTCGTATCAAAAAGTGAAGCATCCATGAATGTATGCGTTTGTATTGCGTCTTTCAGTGCCTCAGCTGTCCGTGGTAAAGGAAATGATCCGGAGGCTGCAGGAACTGAGACACACGGAGCAGGTCCAGAGAGCTTATGCCCTCAACTGTGGCGAAGGCGCCACCGTCAGCTATGAGCTGCAGCTGCGGGTGCTGAGGGAGTTTGGTCTGGCAGACGGAGCCACTGAGCTACTGCAGGTTCGTAGAAAGCAGAGTTTGTTCCCAGGGGTTTGAGGGGTGATGAGATGGCTACGGCTGGGATACTAACAGGGATGGTTGTGCTGAGGACACAGACGGACCTCAGTAGTGCAGCAGATACAGACCATGAACAACCCCAGGCAGAAAAATCTTCAGAAAAATAATTTTTTTCTTCTTTTAAATGCTTTGTCAGCACCACAATGGACATAGATTTCTATATCTCATGTTCTGTTTTTTTTTTTTTGTATTTTCAGAACCCTTACAAGTTCTTCCCTGATGAACGGTTTGGAGATGAGAGTCCAATTCTGGCTCTACGCCAGGTGGGTCGGTGTCGGGTAAACAGCAGCCCAGCCATGGATAGCATGTTCACAGAGCTAGAAGGGGTAGTTGGCTTTCACCCTCCCCTACCTCCTCCACCTCCCCCATACCACCCCCCTGCCACACCCAGCCATGCTCAGCTCAAGGGTGCCTGGCGTCCTCGTGTGCCCATGCCAGCCCCTACCCGTTCCTTCTCCTATCCCTGCAACCGCACCCTGATCCAGCGCCATGCAGCTGCTAAGCATGGCAGCTCAGACTACTCCTCTGTACCCAGGCCCCAGCCCCCAGACTGCACCAACCCGCAGGCTATGGGCCGAGCTTTGCTTTCTGAACAGCAAGCGGTGAGTGTGTGTGTGTTACTTCCTAGAGTCCTTGTGCTACGATTTTTGTTTGTTAAAATGCGGCTGCATGGTTTGTGCCTACGATCATTAGTTGCTAAATTGTCAGGTAACGTCACATGTTTTTGTGTCTGTTTTCCGATGCAGATGAGCATGGAGCCTGTTATGAGGGAGTTCATGCCTGACATTGCGTTGGGTGTCTCTGTCATGTCCCTGAGGGAGCAGCACATGGCAGAGTTGGACAGGGAAGGCCCTCACGGCCCCATGGGCCCCATGGGCCCCTCGGGCCACCACCTGCCCCATGGGCCCTGCCCTTCTGCCCGCCACAGCCATGGCCACGGTCCTGGACATGGCCATTCATGCAAGAGACACGCTCCTGAACCCAAGCTGGAGGCTCAAGCCGAATTCCCTGACCTGTATGACTTTTCCTGTCGACCTGCAACCCCAACATCCGCTCACCCTCTGCCCTCCTTTGCAGGACCAGACCTCTACAGCCACAGCTGCACTCCCTCCGGCTCTTATCCACCCCCCTACATTTCTGAATCTCAGTCCCAGGGCCGCCCTCAGGGACGGACTGCCGCAGACCCACTACGTCTGGACGTCCTCAGTATGACCTCTCAGAGGCATGATGGAGTCCTTGCCAGCCCTTCTGTGGCCCAACATAGGATGGGACACATCCCAAGGGGGCGATCAAATGAGACAGATTTGACTCATGGCTTAGGACATTTACGGCCTCCCAGTGGAAACATGGATAGCTATGAGGAGAGGCACACAGGCCCTAGAGATGCCCCGGAGGAGATGGTTCTAGCTGGAGAATCATTGGGCCCGGGGTCCCTCCAGCAGTCTCACAGGAACAGTGTCAGCGAGGACATCGCCAGAGACCGCAGGTCACCCAGCAAGCCCGACTACCCTTATAAGAAATCTGCACTTTAACCCCATTTGAGGACCGGGGGTTGAGTTAGGAAAAGGGAAAGCATGATGAGTGGCTGTCCATCACAATGAATGGCGAAGCACTAAATGTGTGCCTGTTTGTGTGTGTGTGTCTGTGTCTGTGTGTTTGTGTTTGTTTGTTTGAGAGGAGCAGGGTAAAGGGGGGGGTCGATGGTTGCTATTTATTGGATCTGTCCTTTTGTCCTACCTCTATCACACTGTGCTATCCATCACACAGTCGAGTATGGAATGAGTAAGAGCTGTAGGCTAACTGTCCATGCTTGTAGTAATTGATCCTGCTGGTTTAGAGGATGACTCAGGCTCTACTAGGACAGACTGGTCTCTTGAGTTTGATTGTAAAGAAAGACTTTAGCTCTATGCTGTGCGAGTCCTGCATGGGGAGGTCACAACACTAGATGTAGCTCAGTTATGAACTGATGGTTCAACAAAGATTGCATTCATAAGCTCTGTTGTCTCTCCATTGTTTTAGGCACAGAACGGGGAGATGGTGGGATAGGAATCTCAATTTACACAGGCTAACAATGGTACTCAGTCTGGGACAGAGAGTATTGTGATAAAATCATATGTAAATACATCAGACTGTATTCTTTTCCTCCCATTATTTGTATTTCCATTTTCCCTGTAGCATGCCTATAGCAACCCATTTGGCTAGTGTTCCCCACCTGGCCCCCGGTTTAAGGGCCACAGCTTGGTCACACAAAGCAGGAACCGGACCTGTTAGGAAGTAGGTCATCAGAGTTCGTCATTCTCCCGTTACCCGGTCTGATAATTGTGTCAGGGTTTACCTATTACATGCTTGGAGGCAGACGCCTGGTGTTTTCAGAGGGCTACAGGTGGCAGGAAGGAGCACGAGCAGGCTCATTACCGAAATACAGTGACAAATATAGGGGTGCCATGAGTACTGGGGGGTTTGTTGGTTTTTCAGCTTGTGTGTGTGTGTGTGTGTGTGTGTGTGAGAGAGAGGATAACTTTGATACACACAGTTGTGTAGAGACAATCTCAGTACTGTACACTCCCATCTTTAGTCAGGTCTGTTTGTACATATCGGAGAGTCTGATGAGTTAAGAGCCTCTTGTTCTGTTTAATCCAATAGCATCAAGTAATCTAATCTAAAGCCTTAATCAGTGCTTGGAATATTCAGTTTTAGCTACCTTTGTTCAATTATGATGTCATATCGCTTACCCCTGTTATTTGACTGTTCTGTTCACTATGGACACATTAACTACCCCTTACCCAAATGCTAACATGTATATACGTCAGGCCTCCCATCACACCACCCCACGCGAGATTGTGGACCTGCATAGTCAGTGTTGATACTATTAAATGTACTGTTAAAGAGCCACAGCAGCTGTAGCTCCAGCACCATGCAAGTACACACATAAAAGCCTGTTACAGCCAACAAGCTGGCATACACCCTCACATACCAGTATCCTTGCACTGTAGGAGACACCGGTATATTAGCTGAAGGGAAGAGGAACAAAAGAATTTCGAACAAAAGGAATCTTATATTGAAGAAAAGTTGGCGATAGCCGGCTCATGTCTCCAATGAAATTGTATATAATGAATTGAACTCCATTCTGACACATTTTTAATTGTTTCTATCACATTTTAGTGGTTGTTGAAGGTTTGAGTTTTTACTGTAGTGGACAACACTGTGTACTTGTCTTTGTCATGAAATCTCACTAAGAATGTGTGGTATAAAACATAAAGATTGTGTCTCAATCTATTTTGTCCCCAAATGTCACGCATTAGGGCGGTCTGTTCAGTGTTGTGGATTACGATGTTTGTCGAGATGTTTCTTGTCTTCCCTATTCTTTACTTTTTAAAGTAACATGAATATGTAGAGGATCTGAAGATATTATTAGCTTTCTGCTTAGCGGTGATAAAGTTGCCAAGCAGAAAAATTCATTTTTCCATCTAGGTGGAATCATGGGGGAAAAAAATGCAAAACTCCAGATTCCTCCCCATGTTCACCTCCCCATGTTCATGTTGGGTAGTAGTTTTATTTTCCGGGACAATGTTCCATTGAATAAAAGTCCTTGTTTTGCTCTTTGCTGTAGAGAAGTCAGTGCCTTTCCCCCCCCACCCCCACCGCCTGCGGCTGGGCTTTTATTGAAGAAGTGACTTTGATGTCTATGCAAGCTCTTTTCTACCAGCTTACCAGCCTGCATCAAATAGTCCTTTGAAATCTCATGTAGCTCGTTCTGTGTACATAGTGTTATTTAGCACCTTTTGGAATTGAACCATCTGAAATGTGTGATTGCTTGTGTTGAATTATAACAGGTACTTTGTACTTGTATGGTATTATAGAAAACATGTTTGTAGATTGATATTAAGTTGCATTTAGTTTCACTGAATCTATTTTTCTACTGTCGCCTCAAAAGGTGCATAACAGTGGTCAACTTGGGCATCCTCAAAATAAACTGGTTTGATATTATGGAATTAATTTGATCTCAGTTGCGTTGTTTTGTGCACTAGAAACGTGATGACTTTATTTGGAACATGAATATAAAACAGTATTTGTTCACATCAGAAGTTTGACAATTTAAAACACACTGGTATTTAACTCAAGTCACAATGACAAACTGGACATGTTCATGTGATGCACATAACATTGTAGCAATGTAACAATTTAATCTATTTAAAGCATACAGTGTTGAAATGTCTCAAGTAACATTCATTTGGAGAGTTAAGGCATTACTATAAATCAATAAAAACAATCTCACTCCTTCACTCGAGAAGAAACAATTCACAACAGCGAGTCAGTGCACTCTGCGTGTTAGGATCACATCGGTTGCAGCAAGAAGTTCCTTTATTCAACCAAGAAAAAGGTTAATCTTCCAAATCTCACTCATTCATTCAAAGCACCATATGAACCAGGCCTACGATAGCAGCATGGCCTCCTTGTTACTGGTATCCTGCATTGGTCCTCCGTCTCTTTCTAGCCCGCAGCTCCTCAAAGAACTGATGCACAGCTTCAACTGTGACTGTCTGATAGAGAAAAGGAGGGAATGGTTTGAGATTTAGAGGAAGAAGAAAAACCAAACATTTTTAAAAATAAAGAATTTGCACACTTGCCTGCAGGTGAAAAAGTAAATGCTAATGGTCAAAACCGTCCAGACTATATTTGCACTTGGACATCCATTTCTTACCTTTCCTTCAGTAACACACTGGTCTAAAAACGCAGTGATCGAAGTCGTCAGCTCGTTGACACCTGAGGGAAGAACACGTGATTAGCCTCGATCAATCGCCTCGCCCATAAGTTTCACTTTGCATGATTACATCCTTGGAGAAAAAAAATAGACCCCGCACTCACCGTAAATGACCTCCAGCTGCTGGACGCGGTCCATCGAGCTCATCAGTGCCATCAACGGGTGCTGACCAAACGGCTCATCCAAGCCTCTGTTCTCATAGGCTAGAATGGTGTCCGACTGATCCATTAGGAACTGCACCTCTGCAGCCACATAGACCCTCTGTGCAACAACGCAGCACACAGAGACACGTTCATTAAGTAAAGGAGCCTAAGTACTTCATAGACTCCGTTACATGGATCAGGATCACATGTAGAGCCAACACCTGCAAAGTGGCTTCCTCGTGCCCTTTGTTAAAGCCCACATTATACTCAGAGCTAGTATTCGTGGCCTACCTTGCAGCTCATGCAGGTGCAGAGCTCGGAGCGCCAGCTGTAAGGCCAGAACACCGCTCCCTGTCTTCGCCTCTCCAGCCCCTTGGCTTGCAGTTCCTTCAGCCTGCAGACAACAGTTTTGGTCACGGCCTTTGCAGGGCTGCCTGACATTTCCTCGTGGGTCCGTTTGCAAGGGGAACTCCTGGTTGCCACTTCCTAAGATACAAATAACAGAGGATGAGTTTCTGTGCTACTGGCAGGAGGAGCGATTGATAACACGTGAGCTTTGTAAAACATCTCGGCCCACAGCACTGCGGACTCATCCGGGGAAGTCTCAAGGCGACTGACACGACGAGATGATTGAGTGATGAAAATCACCAGCCAGTTTACAGTAAGCTGCCCTGTGAAGCCTGGCCAAAGCCGTCTACAGTGCAGGGGAAGCAGTGCCTCATGGGTCATTTCTCCCCTAATTACCCAGAGGAGGGGAAAGCATGATAACCAGCTGGAGCCTGCTCTATAATCTGCTCATTACCCTCCAGCTCCATCTTGTGGCAACTAAAAACAACAGCTGCCACCAAGGGAACGTGCACAGTGAGCACTCGAATACTGTACACGAGGGCCCTTTTCATATCAAATCCCTGCATAACACAGTGGAGTTCCACATGAAGTCACACACAGATGACGAGGGTATACATGAACAGGTAACACCATACTACCATAAGTAGGAAACATCTGTCGACACACACATTGCTCAGTCAAAGAAACTGAAATCTGTAAAGCAGGCCAGAGTTAGGAAGCTAAGATTTTAATTAAATGTCTGTTAAGTCACTATCGCCGAATTATGCAAACACCATAATGATTGAGCCTATGGCCCACTGATGACAGCTCTTGTATTTGCAATATTAAAAACTGGGTGTCTGTGGCGATATTTCCTGGGACAAATCACAAGTGGGGCCCTCTGGGAAGAAAGATACAAAACCACACCTGCAATTACCGCTTATCACTATAGAGAATGAAATGGAGATCGAGTTAGTAATTTTAATGAATTTGGGGGAAAATGGATGTTTTCTAAAAATTCTAACCATTTAGGGTTTTTTTTCTCAATCTACCATGAACACAGTTGAAGTAAAATAAAACCAAAACCATGAATGGAAAAGTTACAAGAGGAGACCTAAATTTATGTTTCGCCTATTTGCCTCAAATTTGTTTCCTGTGAAGGGCTATTGAAGTATGCTGCGTTCATGTGGCATAGTAATTACAAGTTTCAATTGACACTAACTGGGAAAGCTCATATTTCACCGTGGCACTTAATAATGCGGAAAGGCCAGAAAACCAAATAAACGCCTCACATCAGCTAACGACGGTCGTTAAATGTAATCAAACCCAGTTTTCTGGATACAGCCTTATATTTTCAATGCATCAAATCTGATCAAACTGTTCTAAGTTGTCCGATGACAAGAACGCTTGCATGTGGTCAATGTTGATCTCTACCCGCCATCCCAAATTAATTGGTTTGATTGCAGGTTCAGCACCAGTACAGATTAGGTGTCAGTAGGTCTTCTTGTTCACTTTAACTCCCTTCTTTTGCTCTTAATATGACACACCCTACATGCAAACATAGAAACAGAGGCAGAAGGTCTGCTGAGCCCGGGTTCTCACCTCCTGCTTCGTGTGCTCAGCACTGGTGGACGGTTCCTCATCCCCACTGTGACTGGGCTCAGAGGCTTCTTCCTTTTCTGCTCCGTCCTCGACATCCACTTCTTCCTCCTTCTCCCCCTCCTCCTCCTCAGGATGACTGACACTGATCATAGGTGAAACTAAAAGGGAAGGACAAATGCAAAAATTGTTCTCTGGATTTTACTGTTAAATGTTCGTAAAGTCTCGTGGGTTTGTATTTGCTTACCCTGACACGCAGCTCAAGACAACTTTTACCTGCAAAGTGAGCAGCATACATCCACAAGACAGGGGCCTTGTTCATGCAGGCCTCACATATCATCTCTTGCAGCTCCTCAGGGTCCCCCGTAGTGCAGCCCAGGTGCTATCAACGACAAACAAATGGACTACGTAATGAGAAGAATATTTGAAAAAAGGAAGTTCTCAAAAAGTAATTTCAATAACATGACTTCTGCTTACCCTGCTATGAAACCAATCCTCACAGATGACACACTGAATCATCTCATCGTTGGCCTATTGGATCATTTAAAAAAGGTGTTTTTGGAGTCACAATGACAGATGATGTAAACAGTAGATTTGATCAATGTAATCTTACTAACTTAAACAAGATCTCAGTGATAAAACTAAATAAATGAAAGGAATACCTGATCGTCTGTGTCTGGGTACGGCCGGTCACACGTGCAGTAGCAGCCATTGAAGTTGTGATTGTAGTGATTTCTGACGTTCTCCTCATCTTTGGCCTGTGAATGCACCAGATGGAATAACTTCAGCATCACGAACATAAAGCACGATTGAGTTAGAAGTCATTATAAAACCAGAGGACTCACAGGAATTAGCTGGCACTTGAATTCCCCAAACTTGCTATTCCCACAGTCACAGCGAAAATTTCTACATCAGAAAAATTAGGTTAATTATGAAAAGGATATGGCAAACTGTAGGACTGAATTTGTATGATCAGTTTACATCATTAAAAAAAATTTAAAAAACTCAACCAAAATACCTTTTGGTGTACAGTTCAAAGATATCATGTCCATCGTGGCATTTATTGGCACACGCCAAACAAACCCCAGCAGGTTCTGCAGCATTTGGAGTGCAGGTGTTGCAGGCAAACACAGCCTGTCTCTTCACATAGCCCTGTGACAATAACACAGGAGGTATGAATATACAGCACAATACATAATGATGACATACCCCCTCTAATAAGCACTATAGTAGTCATTTCATATTGTCTGATTAGAAATACTGCAGTGATACCAAACTATGAATAATTTCATGGTTTCACTCTTGAACGCCCCACAGAAGCAACAAAGACCTTACTTGTTACACAGTCACAGTGAACACTGCATATAAAACTGCAGCACGACCGGTGAACCAGAAGGCGGATAAAGGCGATGGCTGCAGGGATGCGGTGCAGGACGCTTTTCTTACCCGAGAATAAGAGCAGTTTTCTGGGTCGCTTCCAGCCAGCACACACAAAGCCTTCTCGAGCTCCTCCTCGTTGGACAGAATATCGTCCGTGTCTGAGTCTTCTTTATTCGCTGCCATTTTGGTAAAAGAGGGTGAGGAGAACACAAAGACACACTGAGCTGCACGACAGTGTTGACAAACGACTGTTCCGGGCGGGAGTCGAGGGATAGTTTGTGCAGAGACCACGTGGAGGAAGTGACGCAAGACAACGTTACTGATTAACAATGAACAATCTCTAATGTTTTGCTGTTCAATCAATGGCGTTACTTATTTTAGTTCAAGCAAATGGTACGATCAATAATTCAATGATTACTTTTAATTGGCTTAAATATAAATATATGTCTGTGTTGTATTGTAACTGCAGGTGGCCTGGTGGGATCAGTCTCTGGGTTCATTATCACAATAGAAACAAATTAGACTAGACATTTAAGAAATATAGCTACATTTTGAGGGTGAATTACAGTGAATATGTACAATAAAGGAAAGTCCATTCCATGGAAGGGAATTAGGTAAACCTAGCAAACACAACGTACACACTACAACCATCACTGAAAATAATGAAATTCAGTTGGATTTGGCCCCAAAGAGGCATTTAAAGGCCTGAAATTGTAAATTGTTACATACTTGACCTGGTGGTAGAATGTAGTCAGGAGAGGGATTGGAAATCGGTGGTTAGGCCTCCCTCCAACCACCTTAACTGCGTTTCTGCCATTGTGTACATTTGAAATATTTAGTTTTAATTTAGTTTTAATCTCTTTTTTTTTTACGTGTTCGGTATATTTTCTTATCAATTCTTATCATACTAAGTGTGTGTGTGTGTGTGTGTGTGTGTGTGTGTGTGTGTGGAAGACAATATATGAACTTGCTGTATGTTGCAGTGGTTTTCCAATAGATGGCGCCACTGTGATAGTTTTCTCTGTTTGGGCGCCCGCCTAAAATATGCGTCCATTGCTGCGCTGAAAGGGGTGTTGCAAGCTACAGCATGCCCACAGATAGAAGGTCAGTTCATTGTGCTCACTAAAATTAGTTTGTGTACACATTCACAAACCCCTGATCCGCATTTTGCCTCAACCTTTCTTGATTCTTCATGTATTGGGTTGGTTGGGTTGACAGACAGTGAAGCAGTGCTCACAGGCAACACGCTGAACTTCTCTGACCGCATCCCGGGTGCTTTTAAAGGCTGTCGGAAATATTGTCGAACCACCATGAACAGCCTAAAGAGGTGGTTAATATGCAGGGACAGAGCTAAGAATTCTGGGTCTCCAGCAAAAATGAAAAATAATCCTACTGGTATTTCGTGGGCACCTTAATCAGTATATTTAGTTTGTATGATGAATGAAACACATGCTGCTGTTAAAGTCTATCAAGGAACAACTGATCAACAGCACCTTAATTATACATCTAAATGTACAACACTCTTCTGGGTTTAATTTCGTGTTTTTGTTAACTTGTGTAGAATAGAGACTATGAGTCGATTAATCAACAAATTAAAATAAAATGTAATATATAAATAAAAATAACTATCAGTTTTTCAGCAATAACGCCAAACGTTGCTTGCTCCATCCTATCCAATGTAAGTATTTGCTCGTCCATTTGTTAAAGTTCACTGAACATTTGATATCTCTGAATTGGGACTGTTGACAGAAAACAATCTCCTAAATGAATCGATGATTAAAGCACAGCTTCACGTGAAATTAGAAGAGACTGCGATTCGATAATGCTAATTTCCGAGGGGCTCCTGACGGCAGCATCAATCTCCTGGCTCCTGGGTGTGAGCAGTTCAATCTACAGACTGAAGAAGGAACATCTCAACGTGAGTCCGGCTGTCATCTGTCACCTCGTTTGAAAACTCCTTCTCCACCGGACGGGACGACAATGGGAAGCTGTCCGAGCTAGTTTTCTGAAGAGGACACACATTCAAAGGGGGGGGGGGGGAAGCTGTGGTAAAATCGCAGGTTAGTGAATGCTAGCTCACCACAGCCTCTCTGGCGTAGCGTTAGTCACCTTTACGACAGTTGATTCATCTTTCAGCCAACTACCCGTTGCTAGTTAGTTTTAACTCATTGGATATTTGGAAGTGGTTTGAATCTGTTCTGCCGGTTAACGTTGGTCAACCTTGTTAGCGAGCTAGCTTACGTTTCCTAATTGCATGCCAACGGTTAGCTTCGCAGATTGTCACTGCCCAGTTTGCTAGCTAACGTTAGCAGCTGAGATTAGCATAAGGTGGCAGTTAACGTGGTTCTGATGCTGGACCACGTTAACTGTACTGTTACGTTTGGAAACCAGATAATGTGGCCTTCAGTCTGTGTGTGAGTAACGTAACGTGTAGCGAGCCCGAGTGTTTCCTTCATTGCTCATTGTTGACTGTTGTGAGACTAACGTCACAGTGTGGTTTCCTGGTTTGTGCCTGTGTCCAGGTCGAGTCTTCAGTCACACCGTTCACCTTAGGAGAAGGACCAGGAGCACAGTGGAGATGCAGACGTTCCTGAAAGGCCGGAGAGTCGGCTACTGGCTCAGCGAGAAGAAGATGAAGAAGCTGAATTTTCAAGCATTTGCTGATCTCTGCAGGTATGTGGCTATAACACCAATCTAATGTATCCAGGTCAAGTGATTGTAGACCAACTAACGGATACATTCACACAGTAGGCTTTCCTCAATTGATATCGCAGGGAATTAAGAGATGTACTGACGGGACTGTACTTCCTCTTAATAACTCTATAGCAAATGGGACTCATTATTATCTGTTCTCCTCTTACAGGGAATAGCCCAGTTGCAGTTTTGCGGCACTTTCTCGCTCATACTTATATACAGCATCCTTGTCTGTTAAGCATTTGAGGTTTTACTAAAGCATAGCCGATGAGACCTGTGGCTGCTGTGCTTCTGTTCTTTTAGCTGTAATGCAGAGACGTTCTATACGAGATAATAAAATATGTAAGCATGCCTTAGCAGAAGTCAGTTTAATGTATTAGATTGTGTTTGCTATGTCGTGAGTCGGTGCCTGTTGAGACATATTGGGAAGAGGGAACGTGTGTGGGTATGATGGTTCTTAGTGGCCTACGGCACATGTGTAACAGGTAAAGCAGATATAACGGGTGTTATTAATTCGTTAATTGTCCTGAAGCATGAAACTGTAAGGCATGTGCTGTTGAATAAAAAAAAAAGAAAGAAACCCCGGCCTGTTGACAACATATCTAAACCAGAATATGTGCTCTTATTATACAGAATCAACTGTTGACCATTACAGTATCTTCTGTTGATTGTAATTGGAGGATTGTGATATCACACAGACCAGTCTTGGCTTTTTGTCTCTAGTTGTTAGACATTTTATTTATCTCCAAAAAGGGGAACGTGTCTGTCCAAAGGCATAGTCATAATATGAATTGGTTCAAGGGTGTATTTTGACCATAGCAAGGCTCCAGCCTTGAGAGGGGCTGCTGTATGAGTGTCGTATGTATGTTATCTTGTTGTAGCTCATCCTTCTTGAGGCCAAGTCAATTGTTATATAAGGTATTACAAAGTAGGGCATGGATTTTCTCAGCAGACATGACTTCAGGAGAAGTGAATTCTCCCTCACAGATTTACAATAGCTGCTTCACAGTATACTGGATCGTATGGCAGCAGCCTTATCATCTCTTATGGCAACATTGCCTGTGCTGTGCGAGGGCCACAGTTATCCTGTAAACACAAACGACGAAGGTGGAGAAATCATTTTATCGTCTTCAGTCGTGTGACTGAGCAAGAATGTGCCGTGGTAGGTCAGGTGTGTTGTCAGTGCTCATTATAGCAGGCAATTACTTCCTACCTTTTTCATGAGGGTTGTTGCCTCTCACAGCAACCTGATTACCACACTGTAATCCACAAAACATTTTTAATCTCATAAACCTTCAAGTAACACTCTCCCCCTCCCTGCATCCTGCCAACCCCTGTTTGATATGAAGGGCGGGGACCAAGTGTTAAGAAGTGGTATTTGTGAAAAACAATCAAGTCAAATTAATTGCCTTTTACCGGAACAACAAATACTCGCCCATTTAAATTATAAATGAATAGTGAATGTGGGTGTATCATGTACTGTATATGATCCTGCATGACAGGTTTCAGTGGCTGACTGGAGAAAACCATTCTTCTGGCAAAGATGGAACTAAAATAAGCTTCCTATGTGAGGCTCCTCTTTTAAAGGGTAGTTTCCCTGTTTTGGAGGCACACCTGTTTGACGGTGTGTCCGTTTTATTTATAAATTAATGATTTCTTTGGCAACATCACACTCTTTGAATTTCATTTCATGCACCTTGATTTTACTGAACAGATATACAGTGGGGCAAAAAAGTAGTTAGTCAGCCACCAATTGTGGAAGTTCTCCCACTTAAAAAGATGAGAGATGCCTGTAATTTTCATCATAGGTACACTTCAACTACGAGAGACAGAATGGGGGGAAAGAATCCAGGAAATCACATTGTAGGATTTTTAATGAATTAATTGGTAAATTCCTCGGTAAAATAAGTATTTGGTCACCTACAACCAAGCAAGATTTCTGGCTCTCACAGACCTGTAACTTCTTCTTTAAGAGGCTCCTCTGTCCTCCACTCGTTACCTGTATTAATGGCACCTGTTTGAACTCGTTATCAGTATAAAAGACACCTGTCCACAACCTCAAACAGTCACACTCCAAACTCCACTATGGCCAAGACCAAAGAGCTGTCAAAGGACACCAGAAACAAAATTGTAGACCTGCACCAGGCTGGGAAGACTGAATCTGCAATAGGTAAGCAGCTTGGTGTGAAGAAGTCAACTGTGGGAGCAATTATTAGAAAATGGAAGACATACAAGACCACTGATAGTCTCCCTCGATCTGGGGCTCCACGCAAGATCTCACCCCGTGGGGTCAAAATGATCACAAGAACGGTGAACAAAAATCCCAGAACCACACGGGGGGACCTAGTGAATGACCTGCAGAGAGCTGGGACCAAAGTAACAAAGGCTACCATCAGTAACGCACTACGCCGCCAGGGACTCAAATCCTGCAGTGCCAGACGTGTCCCCCTGCTTAAGCCAGTACATGTCCAGGCCCGTCTGAAGTTCGCTAGAGAGCATTTGGATGATCCAGAAGAGGATTGGGAGAATGTCATATGGTCAGATGAAACCAAAATAGAACTTTTTGGTAAAAACTCAACTCGTCGTGTTTGGAGGAGAAAGAATGCCGAGTTGCATCCAAAGAACACCATACCTACTGTGAAGCATGGGGGTGGAAACATCATGCTTTGGGGCTGTTTTTCTGCAAGGGGACCAGGACGACTGATCCGTGTAAAGGAAAGAATGAATTGGGCCATGTATCGTGAGATTTTGAGTGGAAACCTCCTTCAATCAGCAAGGGCATTGAAGATGAAACGTGGCTGGGTCTTTCAGCATGACAATGATCCCAAACACACCGCCTGGGCAACGAACGAGTGGCTTCGTAAGAAGCATTTCAAGGTCCTGGAGTGGCCTAGCCAGTCTCCAGATCTCAACCCCATAGAAAATCTGTGGAGGGAGTTGAAAGTCCGTGTTGCCCAGCGACAGCCCCAAAACATCACTGCTCTAGAGGAGATCTGCATGGAGGAATGGGCCTAAATACCAGCAACAGTGTGTGAAAAGCTTGTGAAGACTTACAGAAAACATTTGACCTCTGTCATTGCCAACAAAGGGTATATAACAAAGTATTGAGATGAACTTTTGTTGTTGACCAAATACTTATTTTCCACCATAATTTGCAAATAAATTCTTTAAAAATCAGACAGTGATTTTCTGGATTTTTTTTTTTTTTTTTTTTTTTTTTT